CCCCAAAACCCCAAAACCCCAAAACCCCAGTGTTAATAAAAATGGCTGAACTTGTCTTAACTTAGCTAGAAATAGCAAGCATCGGCATTATCTAACTTTGAAGACTTGTTATCGAATGAAATGTCTACCTCGAGCAGATGGGTGAAATCTATGTTAGAATTCGTCTCTTCTCGAGTGAATCAGTATGAAAATGTTGACTCTTCATCCCAGCGACCAGAAGAACCTAGAAATTCACCACATTTGGCTTACAAGAATAAGAGATGATGCTATCTAAGGTCTTAGTATCAAGCTTTATCTTTTTATTTTAGTACAGCAACAGTATAAGGAGGGAATAAAGTCTCTTTTTCTTGTACATAACAGGAGATTCCAATTTGACTAAGCTTGCCAGCATTATAACATCCACTCCTTCAAAATCACAAGGAATACTTACTTGATATTAAACCTTACTATAGTGTTGACTTTCCCAGTAAGAGAAGAGTGAAAATTTGCAAATGTTTTAGCTACATATAGAGATTCACTACAGCAACTCCAATTTACTATCCTGAAGGGCTTCTCTAATTCAACATTACGAAAGATTTCTGTGGAAATCCCTCTATACACAACTCTATCTTCAGTGTTGAATTCTCTTCCTTTGTCAACAATATATGAGTTTAGAATCCTCATGAATTTGATGCTTTTATCAATAATTAGCTTATAGCTTTTACCTGATTTGGCTACTATCTCACTCATGAACTTAAAGTTTTTATCTCATAGACTCTTATTAAAAGTTATTCCAGAGTCAACAATTAGTGCTGCATTTATCAGTTTTGTCAATTTTCTAAAAAGGAAAGTAAAACGAACTAGTCATCTTAAAACTTACGTATCTCCAGTCCAGATGGAGGTGATTACTTTCACGGATGATTCCTTATGCTTCTCATACAAATCATCAATATAAGACTTTGAATATATGCACTTGAGGTCATCTAAAACATTCTGAATTGAAGGATATCTAGCTGTGCTATCGAAAGACTTCATGTAATAAGTATCTCTAAAATCCTTGTGTTTAATCTTAGTTTTATTTTCATAATCCTTCATTTGTTGTACTTCTTCTTCTGTCACATCTCCATAAACTTCAAGCAGGATTTTCTCTCCATTATGCGGAGAATAGGATGGCAGAATGCTCATAGGATTTTTTAAAATTTACATTTCAATCTGACTTATTGACAGAGGGGTTTTGGGGTTTTGGGGTTTTGGGGTTTTGGGG